GGGCTGGAGATGGCTTAGTGGTTAAGAGTACTTACTGCTCTTCGATAGGATCTAGGTTTGTTTACCAGCACCCATGTGGTAGCTCCTAACTGTCTGTAACTCCATTTCCAGGGGACAGTACACCCTCTTCTGGCCTCTGTGGGCACCAGGCACACATGTGGGTGTACTTACATATATATGCAAGCAAAACACTCATGCACATAAAATAAAAATAAAATCTTTTCACTTGGGAGGCAGAGGTAGGTGGATCTTTGTGAGTTCGAGGCCAGCCTGGTCTACATAGTGAGTTCCAGGACAGCTGGGGCTACAAGGAGACCCTGTCTCAAAAAGACCAAAAATAAAATAGAATAAAATCTTTTTTAAAAAATCTGTATTCCACTAGGCTGGAAAGTCTAAAAGAAATGGATTAATTTCTAAATATATATGACCTACCAAAGTTAAATCAAGATGAAATGAATAATTTAAATAGAACCATAAAAAAGAGCATGGCACTGGCATAAAGTGGTGTAGAACTGAGGACCAGAGTATGAATCCACCCACCTACCATCACCTGATTTTTGACAGAGGCCAAAATACACACTTATCTTCAATAAGTGGTGCTGGTCAAACTGGATAGCTACAGGTTGAATTAAAGTAGATGCTTATCTCTTACCCTACACAAAATTCAACTCCAAGTAGATCAAGGGCCTCAACATTAGACCTAATACCCCGAATCTGATAGAGGAGAAAAGTAGGGAACTTTTATACTGAAACTTATAGGCCTAGGTAAGGACTTCCTGGACAAGACCCCAGTAGCACAGGCATTTAAGAACAAAAATTGACAAAGTATATGAAACTAAAAAGCTTTTGTACAGTAAAGAACACCATAACTCAAGTGAAGAGTCAGACTACAGAATGGGAAAAAAATCTTTACTGGCCATACCTCTGACAGAGTGTTGGTATCTAGAATATACAAAGAACTCAAGAAACTAAACATCAAGAAAACAATCCAGTTAAAAATTGGGGCAAGAAAATAAATAAGTTCTCAAAAGATAAAATGCAAATGGCTGAGAAATGTTCAATTTGTCACACATAGACACTGTGAGATGCCCAACCTTAAGTGACACATCTACACCTAAGTGGAACCTCTACACCTAAGGTTCATGGAACACAGCAGAACAAGGGGTAGAGAGAATACTAATGCTCAACTCTCATCAATGAAGCTTCCTCATGCAACAGAGGGCAATGAACACAAAGGGCCACAAATGGTCAAAGCATAGAGAATAAGAGTCTGCAGAGTGTGGGTCCTTGGCCAGAACTATATTAAATTTCACCTACCAAGGGCTCAGGGACCACTGTGGAAGAGGGGGTGGAAAGACTGTAGGAGCCAGGGAGGAGGTACATGATCATATGGAAATGAGTCTTTACAGGCTCCTGGAACTTTGCTCATATGAACCTACAGCAATGGTGATAGCATGCACAAGACCCATGCAAATGCAAGCAGACAAAAACCTAGCATAGAAGTATGGAAATGGACAGCAGGCCCTGATCTTAGACAAAGAATTTTTGGGCAGCTGATTACTGCTAGGTGAAGAAGAGCTGATATTCTTTAAGGGAGTGACTCTAGATAGGCTGACTGGACCTCAGTGGATGAATTTGTACTAAGGGATGTCTGGGGACACTAACTTGACTCAATAGGCCTTAATATAAATGACAGAATGCATGAAAACTAGTTGGGGGTGGGGTGGGAGGGTGCCAGTGGGGAAGGGGATATAAAGTTGTTTAAGATATTGTGCATGAAATATATAAAAATAATGAACAAGACTGAAAACTAGGCCAATTAAAATATACAAAAAAATTATGTTCAAAATCCTCAGTCATCAGGGAAATGCAAATCAAAACTACTTTGAAATTTTGTCTTACCCTGGTTAGAATGGCTAAGATCAAATAAGCAAGCAAGCAAGCAAACAATAAAAACAAAACAAAAACACAAACAACAAATTCTGGCTTGGATGTCAGGAAAGGGGAACACTTTATTCATTGCTGCAGCCACTGTGGAGGTTCCTCAAAAAGCTATAAATAGATCTACCATGTGATTCAGTCATGCTACTCTTGGGCATAGACCCAAAGGACCCTGTATCCTACTACAGAGATACCTGCCCATCCATGTTCCTTGTTGCTTTATTTACAATAGCAAGAAAATGGAAACAACCTAGACGTCCATCAACTAAGGAACAGATAATGAAAATGTGGTACATTTACACAATGAGATATTAATTATGAAATTCACAGATAACTGGATGGAGCTGGAAACAATTATCCTGAGTGAGGTAATCTAGACTCAGAAAAACAAACATTGCAGGGTTTCTCTCATATGTGGGTGCTTTAAATCTTTAGATATCTGTGTTTCATTTGGTATACTCGTAGAGGTCAGGACACTAGTAAGGGGCCATGGGGGGGTCTTTTAAGGGTAGGGAGATAAAATACAGTGATAAAAGGGAAAGGGGGACAATGGAACAGAAAGGGTTAAATGGGGTGGGGAGTTCAGAGGGCATGGCAGAGAAGGGAATATAGGAATACTAAAGACCTTTTGAAAAAGTTATACAGAAGCCTATTACTGTAGAAGCTTCTTAAAATTTATGCATATATTAATGTAAAAATAGTTTAAGTGTAGTTATCTTATAATAGGGGTGGGGGGGGAGACAATACCCCTACTAGATGCCACAGGCTAACAAAAAGCCCAGTGCCAAGAATGTGTTACCTCTTTTGGCTAGTGGGTACCCATCTATTGCCATTGTGCTTGGTTTCCTCCAGAACTTGACAGTAAAACCCTATTGCTGAAGATACCACATACTTGAATCATAGAACATGGAGAAATCAAGCTGGTACTGACCTGGAAGCTTTATCCTTACAGGCTAGTTTTCATGTTGGAAGGTGCTATGCATGCTCCCAGAGGAGAACAGTAACTACCAATCTTACCCAGTCTGAACCCTGCGAGCCACAATAAAGACTAGCCTGGCAGGATATGCCAACTGGTGATATAGTGGCATGAATATTATAGGAGTAATCAACTACTTTCTGATCGACTTAAAGGCCTGCTCCACAGATGAAACCCATACCTGGCATTGCTATAGAAGTCAAGAACCTGTGGCTAGACAGGCCATAGGCACACAGAGGAACCTACTATTACTCTGTTAAAAAGGCATAGTACTAAACTGACTCCTAGTGACTTACTGCTGTACCCAAAGATTATTGCATCTCTCAAGTCTCGGCAAAGAAGCTTCTTCTTGTAGTATATGGCAATTAACATGGAAATTCACAGCTGGTCTACATGCAGAGAACGAGACTGTAAAGTGCTCAGCCCTAAATGGGACAGTTATATCACACCCCGTCCTCCCAAGGCTCAGGGATCATTTGGAAGATGGGGCAAAAAGATTTTAAGAGGCAGAGGTAGTGGTTGACCACAAAGTAACCATGTTTTCCAACAGAATTGGGTAGCTGCACATATGAACCCATAGCACTTGTGACAGCATTCTCAAGACCTGGGCAATCCCAAGCCAGACAAAATCCCAGCATGGAGTGGGGAAGTGGGTAAGAAGTCTGAACCCTGGCTGAGTAGCTATTGGCAACTGATAGCCGCTGGAAGAAGAGGAGTCTGTTTTCTTTAAGGGTGTGACCCCTGGTGGGTCAACCATATTCCAGGTGATGGCCCCACCCTCAAAAGTATTTGGGTATCACAAATTGAACTCCATGGGTTTGAAAAGAAAAAAAGGGGGGACTGAGAGATGGCCCAATGGTTAAGAGCACTGGCTGCTCTTTCAGAGAACCTAGGTTCGATTCCCAGTACTTACATGGAGGCTAACAACTGTTACTCCAGTTCTAGGGGATCCAACACCCTCTTGACTTCAGCAGGCACTGCACAGCACAGATGCACTTACATGCATGCAGGCAATACTCATACACATAAAAAATGACAACATAAAAAATATAAATATTTTCTAAAAAAGAAGAGGGCAGGAGGTTGGGTGGGTAGAAGGTGGGGGTGACGGGGGAGTTGGGGGAGGGGTGATACAATCAAAGTACATTATACAAAATTCTCAGAGTAAAATAATTATTTTGAAAAATGATGTAGCCTCTCAAAAAAATCAGTGCCAAACTATACTCCATTATAATCAAGAGATGAAAAGACATAATCTAGACCGATTAAAGATCTGGTGAAAAAAATTCCTTAAAAGGAAAGTTGGAAAATCATTGTTCAGGTTTGAGTTAGAAGTAGTTCCATCTTTACTCCAAAGACTGCTTGTGTGACAGTCTCCTTCAGGTCTGACATTTCCTCTTTAGAAAGAAAAAGATCCTTTGAGTGAGTTAAAGGTGCTGCATACTTCTTTCTGGCTCCATCTGCTTTAGAAGGAGACAATTTTCAAAGAGATGTAAGAAGGCTTCTGTGCCTTTTAGGCAAATTTAGATTAAGACACAAATGCCTGTGAAATGAAAAGTATCTATGTTTTGCTAAGGCATTTTAGCTACTGGGGTGGCACATACTAGTACCCTGGTGGTGGCAGTGTGTTCTTGGAGACTCCTGAAGCCCCTCTGCTAGGGACCCCATTCTGCAGGGATGTGGCTGAATGCAGGCCAGCAGAAGGCCAGAGACTTCTGCAGTTCCACTGGCAGAGCCCAGCCACAAGCCAGAGACAGCTAAAGGGCCTAGATGGCAGGAGAGCGCTGGCTCAGAATCTGAAGTCCTGGGCTCTGAGGGAGCCTGTCACATGTCACCTGTGTGGCTTTGGGTACATTCTCTTCCATATCTGTGAAATGGAGTTGACACTTCTGACCAGTCATGAGATTTAAATCTTTTGCTTTGATTCTCTACAAACCCCTGGAGCCAGCAGATGCCCCACCCACCCACCAAAGCACAGGGGCCACTGTGGAGCCTCCTGGATATGGGCTTTGTGCCCCATACCCTGTAACTAGGAAGACTGACCTAGGGTTCATGACTCACAGGCACAATAACTCAAAGCATGTCAGTCAAAACAACAGCTTAACATTTTACTAAATCAATTCATACAAATTTCAAATTGCAAATATAATTAAGGACAACAGATTCTGTTCTGTCTTTAAAATTTTTCATTTTCAAATCCATCATTAAGACAAAAAAGTAAACAAAAAGTTAGGTCTGTTGCAAATTCATGATTTTTCTTCTCAGGGGGGAAAAATAATAGTAAAAAGAACGCCACTGGGTGTACAATAAAGCACAACACATGGTTACAGATGGGGTTTCCTGCTGCTTCGACATGTAAAAGAGACCATCCTCCCCACCACTCTGCGTCAATCAGGATTTCATTAAAATAAACTATAAAATCTCCTAGGTTACACTAAGTCAGACACAGTCTGGAACACAGTGCTTAACAATAGTAATGTCAACTATCAGTGCTAACAGAAAAACATTTTAGAAGGTCAAAAACAATTGAACTGGAAACCAAAACCTTATTTTCCCTAGATGAGCAAAACTGAAACAAAATGGATCCTGCCTCCCAGTAAAAATGAAGGGTTTTTTTTTTTTTTTCCTTTTTTCTTTCTTTCCAGTTGGAGGCAGGGGACATGGTATGGGCTGGCTCTGGGGACACTGGCCTAGTTAGCATCCAGCTTGGCCATTTCCTGCACATAGATGCCTATACTCTCACTGTCAAAAAGCACAAAGTACACGGTTTTGATGGAGGAAGACATGGTGGACACAAAATAACTGGAGATGGCCTTCAGAATCAGCTGGGCCGCTGTCTGCTTCGGGAACCCATTCCTGTAGAAGAGAATGCAATGGTCAGCATCTGGGGCAGCCACAGTGAGATCACCTCAGGCTACCTCCTACAGGGTCCTCACATTGAGTCAGGGTCCACTGAACCCTGGAGGTGCTCCCCAACAGGTGTAAGAAAATCCATGGGCTATAAATTTTATTAGTGAATGGTCATGTGCTGCTTGTACTTGTTAAGAGTGGACTCGGCTCAACATACTCCTCTCCCATGTCTCAGACTCAAGCATATTTATCTCAAGTGTCCCCGAGATTCCTTGTCCTGAAGCGGGCTGGCCCTTGGACACAGGAGAAAGGAGAAGAGATAACAGCCCAAGAGTATTAAAAACACTGTACTCTTGACCAAGGTTACAGCTCACATTCCATGGTATAAAAATGCCTGTGTTGAAAACAAGAAGCTGGAAGCTCATTCATGGAGAGGGCACCCTGCCTAGAACTCTCTCAATTGGGGACTACAGTTACACTTGGTGCGGTCTTCACAGTAGATTTCTGCTGGATGTTGTGCTTGATTTGATGCCACCTATCTTCTGCTTGCTACTTGTTCTTTTTCTTTTGCTTGCTTGCATAGTTGGCCTTCCAGTCATTTCTGCTCGGTGTTCTAAGGGCCCGGTCTGATGTTTGCTATCTATCTGCTACCTGCTCTTTTACTTCTGTTTGCTACATGCAAAACTCACTTATTTGAAACCAAAATCCTTCTCCAGACAGAACTACCCATAAGATGAAAGACAGACAACAGCCTGGCATCTTCAGGCACAGGAAGTGTTCTGAAAACTTTCCAAGGAGGCAGGACCCGGGGAACATTCTAGAAGTCGGCAGTAAGCAGCTGGAGAGTATTGGACGGTATGCATTGAGTTGTCCAAGGCAGCACAAACTTGTTTCTTTTCTGTTGTCCACGGCATCAGCATTGTATGAGTCTCACTGCTGGGGCTGCTAAGGTTCCCTATGGGTGTCAGCCTAGGGGTCTCTGGGTAGGCCTTGACTTCTGAATGCTGAAACATCCTTCTTACTGGCCTTCATGGTGTCATGGCTCCAAGGGCTGTTGGCCCAGCATCCTAACACATATCAGCTAGTCACAGCAAATGGTAGGAAAGCCACTATGGTACAGAGCAAGAACTCTGGGGCAAGGAGCCTCTCTTGATTTCAGGGTTATCATCTAAAACTCCAAGCCAGTGTCCTGCAACTGACATGTGGTTTTATTCAAAGTAAATGTCACGAGGCATATTTTAGAGATAGGGGCTGAGAACTTAGTGAGAATGTGAACTAAAGATGAGAAGCTTAGCACTGGATGTTGTTGCTGGTCAACACTGCATACATATAACCCAGACACCTGCAGGAGTGGCAGCTTGCCTGGTTTGGTGGAAATATTTGTGCTTGGAGCTGCCCATACTGAGCCCATTGTACAATTAAAGATACTGAGAGTGGGCGAGGGCTTGGGGCAACTTTCACAGGCATTTCTCTGCTCAGTGGTAGATCTACAGTCCTCTCTGCCTGAACCTGTGGACCTGTTGGTGTCTACCACTTTGACTGGTCCTCTCCTCTGGGTGGGGCACCTACTACTACTAGGTGGGGTGGTCTGCAGAGATGTGTGGTGAGAATGTGTTCATAGCACTTCTCATCTTCTGTACCATGTTCCTATGATACTAAAGCACCTAGGGAGACATACATTCCACAGCTGCCAGTGCGCAGGGCATCACATGGCCACTGAACACTGTTCTGTGTGACTAGCTTTGCAGTAGGCATGGCTTCACTTAGGAGACCCAGGTATTCGTGCATGCTTCAGGAATGTAGCACATTCTTAGAAGGCAAGGGTCTCACCTCAGGGCATTTCCCTAGATGTGGGCAACTAATGGGATGTGATCCAGGTTTAGGCCCCTCCACGCACAGCCATATAATACATCTATATACAGCACAACCAATGAGAACACTTCAGAGCTTCAAGTCCATTCTGGTTTCTTCCCAGAGTGACCCCAGTGGCCCTAGCCTGACTGGAGGGTGACAGAGACAGTGGCCTATGGTGAAGCACCCATGCCCTGTCAGATCTGAAAGCCAGCTGGGCACAGCTGCCATGACTGTTTCCTAGGTGTTGAGGAACACAGAGGAACTGTTGGAGGAGATAAACTTGATCTTCAGCTGTGGAGAGCATATTCCCTGTAGTACAGCTGCTTCCAGCTGTGGTTGGGTTCCCATGTCTTGCAAGCAGCCTGCACTCAGGCCAAGGGAAGAAAGAAAACTACTAGAGTGGGTAGAGCTCAGGCCACAGAATGACCTGGGAAGATGAGAACTGAGAGCTGTAAGGCTACACTTCACTAGCACCATGCTTTGCCTGTAAGGATGCCCTGCATGTCTTCTTTCTGCTTAGGTGAGCAGGGATGGGGGAGGGCCTGAGGAACTGCCTGCAGCAACAGTGCCCTGTAGTCAAGTGGTTACAACCTGGTGTTCTACATGTGCTCAGTCAGCTGGTCTGCCAGGCCTCCAGTTCCAATCTAGCTCCATCTGGCCCATGCAGGGCGGGGGAGTGCTATGATGCAAATACATGCTGTGGCCCCAGTCCCTCTGCCTACTGATTGCAAAGCTACAGCCTTCTTGGAGTACCAAAAATGTGGTGGTCATCTTAGCTGGCTCAGTGTTTTCTGAGAGACCCTCAAGAGCTCTCTAGTCCTTTGCTGTAGCCCTTGAAAAGGGGAATGTTGCTGTCAGTGAGGGAAGGTTCCTTTCTGTTCCTCTGTGTCGTAATTCTCCAACTGTAGTTGGTAACAGCATTACAGACACCTGTTCAAACACAGCTTGCTGGGTTCTACCTGGAGCTTCTGCCCCTTAGGTCTGCAGTCCCTCTTTGAGAACCGTGTTCTACATGTAGCTAGCAGGGATGGATTTCATAATCTGAGCTCACAGGGTGAGTCTGATAGTTAAGAAAAGGTAGGATCAGTGGTTAGGACCAGTAGTGTCCACCCCAGCATACCCTCCTGCTGCCTTGGCCTGACGTTAGGCAGCTATGCATCTGGATTTGTTTCCAGAAAAACTCTTTATTGATCAAGTCACCCCTCTGTTCTATGAAGCCACATACTAAGCGGCAGCCCTGCCATGGAACTGGGAGGGCAGCCAGGGAGAAAAAGCAAAGGCAGAGGTTTTCCTCGTATTTTCCAGATATGGCCCCAAATGCTTCCTAGCTGCCCAAGAAAGAAGCACTGGTAAACAAAATGGCTGAATATGATGCTTTCTCAGACCGATTCACACACCACCCCATACTCTGGTGGTGGGGGTAGCAGTGGCACGACCAGCCTGCACCAGGGTGTGGTCCAGGCTCAAGCTAGAAAGGGACAGTCTCCTGGGATCCTTCTAAAGGTTTACAGGGTAGAGTACTGCCTCCCCTACCTCAGGCCCGACACCTATGACTGCTATTGTTGTCAGTTATATGAGGTTAACCAGTGCAGGCCTCAGGCTGCCAGAGAGCTATCATCCAGTGTGTGATGCGCAGCTCTCTTAGAACTATAGGCCCAGCTGCTGGCATGAATGGTGCAGGCTGACTGGTACCATGCCAGCTGCCTCTGGGGGAGCTGCCTGGGCTCTACTCTAAATGGCCATTTCAACTTGCAAGGTCTCTGCCTTCTTCTTCACCTTGGGCAGATTCTACAAGGCTCGGGGTTTCTGCTCTGGAGGTGATCCAGGTTTGAATTTCAGCTGCCCCTTGGCAGAGTATAAGCCTCTCTAAGGCATTGGTTTCCTCAAGTGGAAAACAGGCATTTCCAGAGCATATGCAGTGAGGAGGATGGGGAGGAGATACTGCTGCAGCCACTTGTGGGCTCCCTCCTCACTCTCAACCGACTTGATGTGTGGCTTGTGTCCACCACGCAGACCTCAAGTTCCTCTGAAGCTACGCACTTCCCAAGCAGAGCTAGCCACTGATCTCTCTGCCAGTCTTGTGTAGACTAGAGCCACATGACCTTCCCTTGGAGTGACTCCTACAGTGTCTGGAACAGCCGTTCTCCAGAGGCCTGGCCCCAGTCTCCTTCGGCTAGTGCAAGGAAATCCTGAGGGCTCTCTCTCTCTGTGCCCTCTTAGGTCAGCTTGCTCTGTGATGGCCTGGGCATACACACAGAAAGGTCATCCTGCCTGGGTACGTGGAGGGCTGGGTTCACAAGGGCCACATTAAGGGCAGGTTCCAGCTCTAATCTGCAGAACCCTTTCCTGTGGATCTTGCCAGGACTTACCAGCCCTGCTCTTAGAAGGTCACTGCCTAGGAGTGGATGGGCCAGGCTATGAAGGGAATAGGCCCCCTAGGGATCTCAGAGAACCTCAGACAGCATCCAAAATCCTGGGGATGGAAAAGACCAGGTGGGTGTCCTGTAGGGACAGGCTGGGAGCTTTGGGAGCTTGGGTAAGGTAGGGACATGGCTGTTACCTCCTATAAAAACACTTCTGCTAGGATTAGGTCTCTTGTACCATTATGGCTGCTCCCAGGCCTTTACCATTTTCCCACATTCTGTCTAGTTTTTGAGTGACTGTGTGAAACTGCCCCAGGCTGAGGCTACTCCTTTTAGAGAAGCCAAGAGCAATGGCATCCAAGGGGATGTTCAGAGGGATGACGGTGGCTTCTGTGCACCACAGCTAGAGGCTCTCTTGGGCTTCCAAACAGCCCATGTGGGATTCCTGTAAGCTTAGAGGCCTTCAAGGTCAGTTCTGCTCCTCTTCTTTCTCCTTTAAAGCCATGCCCTAGGTGCCACCAGGGAGGGTGCTGTGCTTCCCTGGCAGCTCAGGGAATACAGAGATGCTTCATGCTTCTGGGGAAAATCTACACACAGTGAGCATGTGAATGGGGCCTTGTGTGCAGAGTGCATGTGCAGCACAAAGAGCGGTGTGCAGGGGTCCAGCCTGCTTCATAGCACAAATTTTGGAGCCTAGAGCCCTGGGATCAAATCTGGCTCTGCCAAAGACAAGCTGTGTGACCTTAGGTGCATGCCATAACCCCTAAATTTTGCTCCTTCACCTGTGGATGGATTTAACAGTGTTACTCCTCAGCATTGCTGGGTGATAGTACAGATAAAAGGGTTAGCAGCGCCTGGGGCTCAATGAATACCCATAAATGGTAGCTTAAAAAGCACAAAGTAGTTTTCCTTGTATGCTCATAAATCTAAAGGAAGTTTAGTCAAAGCCCCACACCAGCCAGTCCCTGCCTGCTGCCCTAAGAGGAGTCACCTCTTGATGTCCAACAGAGGTGGGTGTGCATTAATATTGTGACTATGGTGGCCAAGGTCAGGGTTACATGAAGGGGTTTCATTTGACCCCAGTCAAGGCCAGAAGCTGGTGAAAGCAGGCCAGTACCTCCAGAGGCCATAACCAACCTTCTGGGGAAAGTGTTCCCAGCTCTTCAGTATTAGCACTTTTGTTGTTTGCATTTCCCCATGACTTCTATGCCAGAGACACTGGATGCCACAAACAAGCCATTTTATTTCCCGTCCTAACCTCTTGTGATTTATTGGCTGGCCTGGTGTAATCCCATTCTTTCCTCATGAAAGCAAGGGCAGCTGTTTGCATGGCTGTGGGACGAGGTCTGCCTGACAGATGTGGTGAGGGAGCCCAGCACATGTGCTGCCTTTGGCGTTCTGCCCTCTTAAAAGCTTCCCATTGATTATTTTAAAAAACTTTTTTACTCCATGAAAAAATGTAAATAAGTTTGTAATAACATATGTTCTTTTATGGGAATTACTTTTATGCTTCAATTAAAAATTTCCCAATAGCCATATGAAAGAGCGTGAAATTATTACCTCCAATAAAGGCTCCTATTGCCTTGCTCTTCGGAAGCACCTTTCATCAGAGTAGATCAAAGTGCATCTGAAACACTAATTAACTGAGCCTCAAAACCATCTGTGAAGGGTAGTCCCTATGGCCTCACTTGTTAAGGAAGGCCAGGAACACAGAAATTGATTCATTTACTAAAGGTCACACAGCACAGCAACACAAAGCCAAAAAAAAGACCTTCCATGGAAGGTGGGTAAAGCAGGGAATATGGCTATTTAAGCTCTGATTCAAAAGTACTTTATGAAAATTTTTTTTTTAAAAAAAGGGTCTTGAATCTATTTTGGGAGGGACCCTAGCACCTATATAACACATATCCAAAGTTCCAGGGCAAGTTCAGTGCCCATGACCTTATACTTGAGTTTCCAGGTGCTCTCAGAGTAGACTGAAAGGGCTTTGGGATGTTTCAACTCTGGTGCTGACTTTGTTGTTTGTTTTCAAGACAGAGTCCCATGCTGCAGTCTAGGCTGGCCTCAAACTTGCAGCAATCCTCCTGTCTCAGTCTTCCAAGAGCTGGGATTACTTCCAAGCCATCATGCTCAGCTTTCTGGTATTGATTTTTAAAATAAAATCTATGTGCCACAGGGCATGGCAGTTCATGCCTTTAATCCTAATCCCAGCATTTGGGAAGCAGAGGAAGAGGCAGGCAGATCTCTCTGAGATTGAGGTCAGTCTGGTCTACATACTGTGTTCTATGCCAGCTGGGGCTACAGCGAGACTGTCCAAAAAAAAAAAAGAAAGAAATGTAGGAATCATGTTGACAAGAGATTAGAATGAAGGTGTGTAGTCACTAAGAATGCAGATAGCCACCTACAGCAATAAGCATGTTCTCAGGGGTCCCCAAGCTTTTGCCATGCAGCTGGGTTGTGCCTTTGCTTTGGCAGTGCAGTGTACGTGGAGTGTATGGGCAGGTATGTGTGAGGCTTCAGGCACAGGCCTGAGCTTTCACTTATCTTCTACTCAGGAATCCTTCCACCCCTGCCCACACACTGTAGAGCCTAGTTTTGGTCCTTCAGTGCAGAGGTCCAAGGAGGCCACCCACATGAAGTGCTGAGGACTGAGGGACCTTCATCAAAGGAACCCCAGCTCCAGGAGGCCTCTGATGCCTAGCACAGCAGGCTGAGAACCAGCTCACGGTGCCTTTGCAGTAAGGAGCAATGGAAGGCTGCAGAGAAACAGGGTCAAGAACAGCCAGAGACCTCCCATCCTCCTATGGTGGGATGTCTGATGAGTCTCAACAGTCATGCCTGACCTCCGCCAAACATAAAGTCTACTCAAAGCTTCTATTATCATTATCACTTAAGGTGTGGGATTTCAGTGCAGCCCAAAAGGGAAAGTAGGAGGCTCTGCTCTCTATCTTTTCCATGACAGTGAAAGAAAATGTCTGGTAAAGAGCTGCTTTCTAAACCCACAGGGTGGAGGCTCCCTGAGGACTGCTCAGGCTTGCCTGAAAAGATAGCACAGTATGGGGATTGGGACATCAGTGCTACTGCCCTCAGCCCTCCCTTCCTTCCTTGGGTATAGGTAAGACAGACAGGCAGAGACCCCAGAAATCTCAAAGCTGGTATGTATGGGCTACCCAAGGGAAGCAGGTACTCCATCCAGACCATACCACCTGCTAATACAGACACCCAGGTGGGGCTCCTTATGATCCCAGCTGCTCAAAGAGGCTCTAAAGTCTCTTCTTTATGCTTCACACCTGATCCTGAGTCTTCCAGAGGCTAGTAGCCTAGAGCCCTAGCAGAGAGGACATGATTTCTGATGCCCTCTGGGGCATTGCTACCTTGGGAAGCACTACTCCACACCATACCATAGTGAAGAGCTCTCAAAGAACTCACTCACTGTAGGCTCCTTTACCTTCCAGAATAGCCCTGAGATGCTGTATCAGGGATAACAATACCTATTTTTCAGAGTGATGGTTTATTTATATGCCATCGATCAGCTGGTGCAAAACAGGGGCAGGACCTGACTCCAGCTGAGCCCAACACTGCCTAACAGAGACCTGAGGAGTGGGCTGTGGCTGAGTCTGACCTCCACACTCAACTGTAGAAGGACTATACTAATTACCTCAGGGCTGGCCCTCTGACTGCAAAGAGTAGGCCTTGTAAGTATATCTGGGGTATGTGAGTGGCAGGGCCCAGACCTAAGTCCTTGTCTCCCAATTTTCTTCCTCAGTTCTACTTGTACCCTGACCTCATCAGCAGGCCCTCAGTTCTCCTAGAGCCATGGAGTGGGAGATAAAGGATGCTGGGGAATGAAAACATAAGGAGCTAAAGGACTTTGCTATGTCAATTCTGGAAAGGTCATTCTCTTAGTGCCCCTGCAATCCCAATGTCCTGTTCTCTCAACCAGGTCTCAGTGCCCCTCCAAAACCCTCTCTGGGGCAGAGTCTCTATAGTCTCCTCTGGGCTGACAAGTGCTGTCACAAAGTTTTAGATCTAACTCTTTAATTGGCCCACCACTTTTTAAAAGATTTTTTTATTTATGTGTATGTATGTCAGTGCATGCTATGTCTGTGCAAGCCTCTGTGGAGGCCAGAAGAGGGTGTTGGATCCCCTACAGCTGGAATTGCAGGCAGCTTGCAGCTGTGAGCCACTGACAAGGATGCTGGAAACCAGAGTCCTCTGGAAGAACAGGAAGCATGGTAACCACTGGGCCTTCTCTCTAGCCCCAGCCCACCATTTTTTACATTTGCATTCTTTTGTTTGCACTTCTGGAGGAAGTAGGGCCTGCAGGCAGCCTTACCAGGCCTTGCTTGCAAGTGACAGCTCTGCAATTAGGGACCATGACTGCAGAGAAACATCCATGACTGACATCATGGCATGTCTGTGTCCCTACCTGCCGCTGCCAATGGATGGAAATGCAATGGATTTCAGCTTCTTATCATCAGCTAGGGCCAAGCAATTTTTCACCGTTTTTTCCAGAAGTTCTTCACACTTGTCTGCACCCCAAACTGGACTATTACAGTGGATCACAAACTTGGCAGGTAGGCCATGGCCTGAACTCACAGCAGCTAGAAGGGATAAGACAGAACTACATGTCACAAGAGGCCAAACCCACACCTGCTCTGCTGCTCTCTAGTGTCCCCCATCTTCCACGCAGGCCTATGTCCAAAGAGGACTGCAGTTTCCTGCCATGCTGTGACTCTGACATCAGCTTGAGATGGAAACCGCTCATAGGGTCTCACTAGGTAACCCTGGCTAGACTGGAACTCCCTATGTATATCAGACTGGCCTCTACCAGATTCACCTGCCTCTACCTCCCAAGTGCTGTAATCAGAGTCATGCAATACCATGCCATGTCCTGAGAGCCTTTAAAGGAGCTCTGCCTCTCTGTAGTCATTGTCTTCTCTTTGGAGTGGCAGCCTGGGTTCTATGGCTACTGATCCTGTCCACTATGGCAGAAAAAGAGTGGTTCTTTAGGATACAACTTTTTCTTTTCCTGGAGGAGAAGTAAGTTTCCAGCTACATATATCCATGGCAGTCTACTTCTCTGTCAGATCTAAGGAAACAGCCTTAGCTCTGCTGCATGCATGAGCTTTAACTAGCCTATTCCTGTTTCCTGTAGCAGTTCCCAGAAACTTGTCTGCAAGATGCTCTGCAAAGAAAGCAGTTCTCAGGCCAGTGGGTTCAAGCAGCATTTCATGCTAACATCTCCACCCACTACTTCAAAGTTCTTGATTTGGCTGAGTGTGGGCAAAACTCATGTTTTGGTGAACACTGTTAGCACTGTCCCAGGGGCAAGGGTTGAGGTTGTGGCACTAGAAGACACTGCAGGAAAAACGATTTGTGGCAAGTCTTATGGTACCACAGAAATAAGCTCTAATCTGACAGTTTAGGGGCTGGGTTCACTGGTATCACATGTTCAGGGCTGACTACTGCCTTTGAAGTTGGCCCTAAGATGAATGGGAAAGAGCTAGGAAGAAACATGCTAACAGATATCCCCTGGGCAGGAATAGGTTTTATTCTCTGGATACTTTTCTTTTTTAATATTTTATTTATTACTTTATTTTATGTGTATTCGTGTATTGCCTGCATGTAGGTAAATGCGCCTGTGTCATGCAATGCCCACGGAGGACAGAAGGGGCTGTTGGATCCCCTGGAACTGAAGTTACGGACAGTTGTTAACTACCATGTGGGCGCTGAGATTCGAATCTGGGTCTTCTGCAAGAACAGTCAGTGTTTTTAACCACTGAGCCATCTCTCCAGCCCCTTTCCTGATACTCTTCAAGATTTTTTAAGGTAGGTATAATACCAGTGCTTGGAAGGCTGAGGTAGGAAGATCGTTTGAGCCCAGGAGTTTGAGACTAGCAACAACAAAAAGGTTCAAATCAAAACCAAAAAATATTAAAACAAGGAGTATTTTGAACCATACTAAATCTAACAGGCTTGCCACAGTCACAGTTCTGGTTGCACCAGGCTGACTCCCATTAGAGGGGACATATCCTGTGCCAAAAGTCACCATCCTCAAATGGGAGCATGAATAAGGGTACATGGGAAAGGCCAGCTGCTCCTGGTGGGGAGTTATCAGTCTTTATGTCTTCCCTTGTACAAGGGGGGCTTTCGATGGAACTGCCTATCATGTTCAGCCCATCATGCCCCTATGGGAAAACAGAAGTAGCATATCACAGGACACAAGCTCAGATTTGATTGCTATTAGGCCCTGACACTAGTCCAGGATGCAGGTGATATTTCATCCCTGGGCAAGGCTTGAGAGGGCCTATGTGGACATCATGTAGTAATTACTAATATCCACATTTAGTCAAGATTAATTTTTTTTTTTTTGGTCTTTTTGAGACAGGGTCTCCCTGTAGCCCCAGCTGGCCTGGAACTCACTATATAGACCAGGCTGGCCTTGAACTCACAGAGATCCGCCTGCCTCTGCCTCCCGAGTGCTGGGATTAAAGGTGTGCGCCACCACACCCAGCTCAAGATTAACTTTTAAAAGACAAGCAGGACTTGATGAAGGGGCATCAGGGATTGCAGAATAAATAAGGAAAAGCAGAGCCTGAAGTAAGGAAAGGGAGGGTCATCTCTTCTCAGGCAGCTAGGATGGAGGGGCTCTCACCTCTGAGACCCAGGAGGCCCTGTCCTTCATGACCTGCTGAACATCTAAAATCTAAAACTTAAACTCTACCTCTGGATTTCGGCACTGCTCCCCTCAAGGCACATCTGCAATCCTTTTCTTCCCTCTCCCACCAAGGAAGGTAGATGTGGAAAATAGAAATGTGTGCTTGGGAGCTTGTTTCCTATTAAAAATAGCTGACTGAGTGAAAATGAATTCGCATTGCTCACCAGCAGGCTCAGTATCACCCTCGATTATTCCCAGTTCTCACATCTGTCAAACTCAGCTAAAATTCCTTCAAATTTGAGGTCTAGACACCAAATATATAGGAGCTACTAAATAATATTTAAAATGTTAAGGTGGTTTTCATGAACCTTAAGTTCCCCTGACAATCTGCATGGGCTACACTTGTGAGTGGTAAAGCTGACAGGCTTTTCCACCTAGGAGACACAGCCGCTCTGCAAAGTACCTTGAACTCTAAGTCCCTCCCCAGTACTGGGCATGCCACCCAGACACGTATGGTGGTTTCCACACCTCACCTCCAGCTACTTCCAGGGGTCCGTTCTTTTTCCGGAGTTCCAAAACAGCTTCCACAAACTCCTTGCCACCCTTCTTCTCCAGAGTGTTTCCTAGGCAAGGACAGGGTGGGGTCAGAGTGCCAACCATGTCTATGACACACATACATACATTAAGCATGTCAAGTGATTGCATATTTTAAATGGTCTAATGAGCTAAATTTCCACAAGGCTGCAAAACAGGATCTATGCCTTGGCTGGGTCGGGGAGGGGAAATCTAGAAGGAACTTGCTCTCAGCCAGGGGCCACTTGGCAGTACTGCTTCTTCTAGCTACCTTTGCTGCCCTCTCTTTGGAGGTGATTCAGACTGGTGATGTCAGAGATGCAAAGGAGACGTCTGTTTTTGGCAAACATGCCTGGCCTGCACACTTTCCATGGGCACTGAGAAATCGGCTGGCATTGGCTTCCAGTGGTTACAAGGCTGCCCAGGGTTTTCTTCTCATCTCAGGGGAGAAGTCCCAAATAAGGAAGTTTGTGCAACAGCAGAGCATGCTCCTATCAAGCAGCTAGCTCTTCTGGCAGGAGGCCCAGGAGAAAGCATTTCCATTTGGGGCCAACATTATATGCTTAGGTCCTATTTTGCAGCTCTGGTGTCATATGTGAATCAAACAAACAAACAAAAAAAAAAACAAAAAAACAAACAAACAAAAAAAAAAACAAAAAAGAAAGAAAGAAAAAAGAAAAAATAATGGCCTCAGACAGCATTTTCTTAATTACACTAACGATTCAGAATCATTTTAGGGAAAGGAGGGCAGCGTCAGAAGCAGAGCTTAAAGATGAACTGGTTTTATATCAAAGTTTGGAAATAAGGATGGTTAGCTGCTTAGGATCAGATTTTTAGAGACAACCAACCAACGGTCAGGAGCACTATGCTTTCTGGAATTATACATTTGCTAAGACATCATTCCTGGCTATGAAAGCCAAGTTTCCAAACAAGGTGGCCAGAGAACCTTGAGAACTTTGAGTTAAGCAGCTCATGTGGGCTAGGAAGCAACCATCTAGGCTGGTGACAACAGCCTTTCAAGTTTGGCCAGAATAGAGTCTAATTCTTCCTTAAGCTCTGGTTCCTCAGTTTTGCACATTTTAAAGTACTTTTTCCTCACAAGAGGATGAAATACTCCTCTTAAGATTCACCATTTGTCTTGGAAAATTCTAAGTTTATCTGGGTTGGTCAAGATGTATCAGAACGCACCAGCCCAGATTAGATCTTAATTGTCTTAGCAAACCTGCCTCATGTGTATGTGTATTCTGCAGAGGTGAGTTAACCCAGGAAGCATTTGGAAGCAAAAGCCAATACTTTGGGTGTTGCCACAGATAAGACAGAACCAGGGCTAATGGAAGGGACTAAACCTTCACTGTCACTGCAGAAAGTCTAAGGGAGTGACTGGAAGGGACACAGCCCACTGCCCACAAGGGCCCCAGTTAGGAGAGGGTGGGCTTTGGAGAGATGCAAACTGTGGATTCTTGTGGTGGGGTCCTGTAGTTCAGACTGCCCTTGTACCTTTACCTCCCTAACAAGCAGCATGAGTTTCATATGGCAGGTGTCACAATGTCACATCCAGAGACTCTTCCTGCTGCTGTTGTTGCTACTGCTCCTGCAGCTGCATGTTTGCAGCAAACTTCAGTACCAGAGTGGCAAGTAAATGAGCCATGTGTCTAGGGGTAGGCCCACTAGGAAGCGGATACGGCTCAGATGTGAGCCCCAATATAGGTTCATTTGAGATATCTATGCAGCTAAGAAAAAGAAGTGTGGCATCCAAATCAACTGGTTCCTTGGTCTAGTCTTTCCCTAATCCTTGGGAGTCTGAGGAGGGGACAAATATGCTGCAGGCTGATTAAGGCCCTTGTTCTCTATCACATTGACTCTTCTGTGAGGACTGGGAAATTTGGAAAATAAAATCAGTACTTCACCTATGAAGACTACTGATTCCCTTCTAAGATGTAAAACATCCTAAGAAAATGAGCTGCTTTATAACTAAAGGTGTTTTATCTTAGGAAGAGTGTTTACTTTAAAATTTTTACTTATAATTAAATATTGCTTTAATTAGAAGTGAAATTGCAAGTTAAAATACACTTAATGGGTTTCTCAAACTTAAAAACTGAACCCTAGGTCGCAGGCAATCAACCCAGTCAGGACTTGACTCCTACACACACATATGTATGCACATGTTCATGTAGACACACGTGTACTTTTTAACAAGAAACAGGCCCATTTTCAACCATATTGTCAACACTCTTAATGTAAGACTCTTGCTTTTTAGGCTTAACTTCAGGGTTAATCATAAAGCAATTGGCTTATTTGCCCCCAAGCATAAACATGTGTTACTCCCATGAGAACAGAACATTATTTCATGCTTAGAAAGCAGGCATAAGTATCAGTGTTCAAAACAGCCTAAGCAAAATTTAGGCTTGGACAAATGTCAGGCTCAGCCTGTGGTCTATTTCACTGTTAGAAAGAACTTTCGATGGGTAAAAGTTAATCACTGGGGCTAAGCATTCCTGCACTCGAATTCCTTCTTCCAGCAGTCTCAGGACTCAGGAATTCACACCGAAAATGACAAGTGGAGTGACTACTTCCTAGCTTCCTCTTTTCCCTTCTCTCACATCAAAGTGGGAGCTGGAACCAATCGAGGACATGCATAAATCTGGTTTTTCATTGTTTTGGAATTGCTCAAAATACCTGAGGTCAGTACTAGTTTGGACTGGATCTCTCGGCAGAGAAAGCACAGAGGTGGGCTTTGGAAGACTGGGTTCCGGCCTGGCATAGTCCCTCTTCTGAGGTTTTTCTAGCTGTTATAGCATTAGTAGGTGATATGTAATGATCTCAGTCAAGTGCTCAGACCCAGGTAGCATATGTGCCACAGAAGATAACAATGCCTGCCTGTGTACATCAGTGGAAGTGTCACCACTGTCATTATACAGCAAGACCAGTCCCAGACTGGGGAGAACTGGGCTCTGAAGGATAGGATAGGTGGGAGCTTTATTCTCAGTGTTACTCTCTAGCTTGTTGTAACCGTGTCCTAAAGCTTCCAATTCTTTTGCTATGGCTAGTCCTGCTGAACATGAGCCTTCCATGGTACCCAGCAAGTCGGCCAGCTCTCTCCTTTCTCTGGGCTTGGTGACATACTTTTGCCCAGGGAGTTTCATAATTTCCATGTCATTCAATAGCCTAGATGGCAGGATAAGCCAAGCCTTAATCATTCTCAGCTTAAAATTACAGGTATCTACCACATGTTAGCTACATGTACTAAGTTGCTTAATCCTTAGTCTAAAGTGCTCTTCACTTTAACTCAAATAAGATGCCAAATTTCAATGCTTCTTTTTTACCAACTTAAAAAAAAAAAAAAAAAAAAGGGCAATCCCTGTGCTGGTCATGTATTTATTCTTCTGTAAGCACTTCCTTCCCACTAAGGTTTTATTGTGTTAAGAAAGGAAGCATCTTTCTTTTAAGCCACCTGTCTTAGGAGGGGAGTTTAACTGTCTACAGCCTGAATCCATTTTGACCTGACACACTTGGCAACTCCTGACTTTCCATCCAGCTTGTCTTTCTATCTATCTATGTCCGAATTCCAAAATGCTCAGGAGAGTCATTAGCTCAAATTGCAATGTCTGAGGTGATTGGGATGGCAGGCTCTGCTAGTGACACTGAGCCAAGCTAGGTGGTCCAGGACCCAGGGAAGCTTCCATCAACTCATTCTTCAAGATGGTAAGATTTGGTGCTTATTAGGAATATCACTGTTCTCTCTGGGAACTGTCTATGAAACCACACTCAGAACACTGCTCGGGCTCAGCCCATCTTTGCAAATCATATGTGCACATGACAATGCAGTCAACAGTAAACACCATACTAGGTGCTTTGCCTACATTCACATAATTCTTAGTATCAGGCACAGAAACCAAGGGATGGAGGAGTTAAGTGACTTTGCTAGGTCCCATAATCAGTAGACAGTGAAGTTAGGATTCAAGTTCCTAAGATTCATGTTTCTTCTTTTCTGCTTAAACGCCTCCTTATGACATAACTCCTCTTAGTATGAGAGCAGGTTACTGACTCCACACTGTGAATCTGTAACCCCAGACTCAGCATCCCAAGTACTCTCACCTCAGTTATACTGAGCTACTCAGCACATTGATGGTAAACCCACAGGGGGTGCCAGGAGAGACTCAAGTGCCTTCTGGGTCTAGGGCAGTGTTTCTCAAGAGCTAAGAGCATCTATCTCATCAATATGTACTGCTAGTCTGAGTGTTCTGCATGCGGGAACACATTTAGAAAGGATGCCCTCTGTGTGTCTAAGCTGAGACCATTTACAGGAATGAGTGTCTTCTGATGTGGAGAAATTGGGCAGGTGGGCCTCTAGAGCTTTGTGCATCAGAGTATGTGCATGTCTGTTCTTCAGAGGATGGCCCTATCCTGCCTGTAACTGAAATCTCTGGGAACCCAGTCTCCAACAAAGCTGTGCTTCATGAAGCAGAGGAAGAAATGCTACTGCTGGGCCAGTTTCCAAACCAGAAGTGCCCACTGGGGAGCTGCATGATGCACCTGGCTGACAGCTAGCTGTACTTCTCCAGTTCACAACACAGGGACAGAAGGCCCCAGGAAGGTCGGGACGGCTGGAAGTGTGAAATGAATGCAGCCTGCGTAGCTGTCAAAGGATCAAGCTGTCTGCGCGGCCGACTGACCATGCACACACACACTCGGCAGCACCCAGCTAGGCATTACCTACTTCACCACCGATGTAGAAGTCAGTGTTTGTCGGGTGAACGACAGCATCACTGTCGATCGAGGCAATGTCAGCCTGAACAACTTGCAACTATAATAGGTAAACAAATGTAGATCAACTGTGTTGGACCGAGACCCACGCACAGGCACATTTACTAATGCCCCAATGGCAGGGCTGGCCTACCTGGTCGATTCCAACATATGAGCCCAGGGGGCAATCAGTCCACGCAGTGTGCGCACATGTGGATGGGAGTGAGGACAGGAGGAGGAGGAATATCAAATGTGACATGTTTAAATTAAACATTTGAATGACAAGTCCAAAAAAAGAGAAACACACATATGAGATCATTTCCAAAGGTTAAAAGAAACAAAACAAATGCCCCGTTTCAAAAGCCTCTAAAACTGGCACCCCACTGAGGAGTCTACAAAAACATGGCATCTGCTTTAAAAAAAAATGTGGACCATCAGGCCAACCAAAACAATGAGTTTCTCCATTTAGTCTGTAGCAGTCAACTTGCAGGCTGATTTTGACTCTGGCATTTGCCATTTAGCTTCCCTTCAAATGACAGCTTGAGAAAAGAAGAAAATAGTACTAGTACAACTATGTGTATTGCAAGTTTTTCCCTTAACGATGGAATTATTTTTCCAGGCTTGTCTCTTTTCCTAGGAAATCTTTCAAATATACTTTTCAATATACTTTGAATAGAATCATTACCATTTATAGTTTCTGCCCTTTGTTTTAAAGAAGGCATCTGTGTAAAGCAGGAAACAAATTCCAGCAGGGCAGCTTTGAGCCCCAGTCCCCATGTTTTCAGCCCACTATTGAGCCCAGTCTGTTTGGGTCAAGCCAGTTCTGTGACAAGAAACCAGTAAGGACAGAAATCCAGTAAGGACATCAGGACACCTGCCATCTGACAAAAGCAGCTGAAGCTGGAGCTGAAGGCTCATAGAATATACTGTGGTCAGTGTTCAGGATGACACTGCCTCTGCAAGCATGTGGACAAGCCTGTATGCCCTGGCAAGGCTGTACCTCGGAGGACAAGAGCTTTTATCATACCTTGAGCTCACAGTTCCTTTCATGAAAAGATGAAACCACAGAGGTGGGTCACCTGAGAGGAAGCTCTCTCAGATTACTTTGAACTTCCTGCCTTCCCCAGCAGGGGCGGGGAGGGCACCATGGCCCTGAGGCAGTTTCCTCCATAGGAACAAACTCAGGAAGATTCCGTCCTTTAGTTTAATATCCTTCAGCCAAATAGTTCATGAAGGCTGTGCTCAATCATATCCTGGTCTCACTGTAGAATGGCTGAAGAAGTGACATAAGGTGGTAAACTTGGAGCACAGCAATCTGCTTGTGGGTGAAGAGCTCCATGGTATGCAATATAGCTTGCTTTCCTTTGTACATGTTGAGTGTCATTCCTAACCAAGGCTTAAATGGAGAAACTATCATTTGGTAGTTACCTGAGATTTTTCAGCTTAAAAAAAAAGGAAAGAAAAAGAACAAAAAACACATTTTAAAATCCCTCCCAAGAAACCAGCAGTCAGTTTGATCATTATGGAAGAGAATTTAGATGGCAATATATTTGCAATCAATGGGAAGCAGCCAATCACACTCAGTGAAATCTAAGAGACTGTCTCCATTTGGAGTAGCCTACAGTGAATGAAATTTTAAGGTCTACATTCAAATGTCAATCATGGATTACGCATTTGCTTTGACCATGCTAAAGTCTAGGCAAATGAAGCCTAAATTCTGGGTTCCATAAATTCTCATCTGACAGCTGGTGGTGCCAAACCCCATCCCCAATTACCTAGGTCATCTTTAAGGTCAATGTCAGCATTGGTAGGATTGATTATGGCCTCCACCTCAAAGCCGGCTAAATTACTGATTTCACTGTGAATAAGGTTCAGCTGAAAAGAAAAGCACGAGGTGGGAAATAACAGGAGAGCCGGCAAGTTGCAGAGAAGTGGGCCCTGGACATGGGTGAGGGAGTGGAGGCTCACAGTGTACCGGGCAGAGAGAAACAGGGATGCTGGCTAATGTGAATCCACTTCAAACAGAAGACTCCAGTGCCATGGGGTGCTGAAAGGAAGCAAGCTAGGTGGAACATTTAGAACCTGCAGGAAGCACAAGCCACGCTGGCTTGGGGGGGGGGGGAACGGGACTTTTCTTTAGAGGAATTTTTGACCTGGGGGCCAGAGTAAAGTGACTGTCAGGACCCAGAATCAGGGTGTTCATTATGAGTGCAGGGTACTGCTCTTGTCCTTGGGCACTAAGGCAGTACCCAGCTGTGTATACCCTTAGAAACTGCTGTCTTGCAAGTGTTTATGGGTCTTTAAGGCTATCCTCGCCCCTGTGACTGCTGGCTGTCCCTCCCTCCCTGCTCCCAGCTTGCTGAAGAAGTAGCAAGGAGCAAGAATAGTCTGTTGCTTAGGAACATGCTGAAATTCTGGGGACACCCAGGAAGAAACCCAGCAGTTCTCCAGCAAGATTATGCTTTTGTTTGTTTGTTTAATAAATTTCACCTCACTGGTCAGGTTGCTTTGAGGCGGCCCAATAGGTAGCTGGCAAATGCCTTGAATTCTGTGTCTGCCCAACTAACTGGGTCTTTCTGAAGAGCCACTGACTATTCTCCTGACTGTTGCTCTGTTGCCATGGCAACCTTTGGTCACTAAAAGAAGAGTGGGTACTGGATTCAGAGAGGCCTAACACTGCCATGCTGGCCCTATCCTTTCCCTCCTTTCCTTTAGGTACAGGTGCTTAGGTGAGCTTGCATACTACATTCTCTGTACTGTAATCAAGTTGCTCATTTTTCAGTGACATCAGTTGGTAACTGCTGCAGTAAAGTGCCTTAAGCAGCTCATAGACTCACGAAGATTCAGGCTAAGAGAATGGCTGAAGCCTGTGGGAGGCAGTACTGAAGCCCTTGTCCCTAGACTCACTATGAGGAGGGGCTGTGAGCAGACCTAGGCAGGATGTCTCCTGTCAACTGAGCTCCAAGTTTCTGAATTTCTAGGCCCAAACATTTTGTCATAAACAAAAAACAAACATCTGACAAACTATTTTTTAAAAATATAAACTCAAATATCAGGTCCTTAGAAGCTGCTAGATTTTCAAAAAGTCTAAAAAAAAGTCATTCTTTGGAAGAAATCAAAAATTATTTTTTTTGCAAACAGAATCTCCCTATGGCCTCATCTGTCCTGGAACTCATTATATAGACCAGGCTGGCCTCAATCTCAGAGATGCACCTGCCTCTGCCTCCTGTGTGCTGGAATAGAAGTAGTATGTCACCACCCCCAGCACAATTGTTACAAATAAATGAGGTCACATAACCAAAGATAGCCTCAAAGACAGAAGACGAATTTTCTCCACTTGGATTTTCTCGTACTTGGCACAATATGGTGATTTGGGGGCCACTCGTATTCCCAGAAGTCCATTGGGAATCAAGTAGTCCTTTGGGCTCTCACACAGTGAGGCTCTCAGTAGCCAGGGTCCTAGTACACAGAGGCACAGAAGACAGCACAGTGTGGCCCTAACTGCTGTCCTCCTATTGGGAGAAGGGTAGGCTAGGCATTTACTCCAAGCAAATGCTATTTATAAAAATGAACTAAGCCAACACTTCATTGCCCCCACGAGGAAAAAAAAAATCCTCATACTGTATGAAAAGGCAAGAGGTTGGTGGTGGAGGGATGGTGGGAAAAGGAGAAAAAAGGAAAGGAATCTTTTGCTGGTGTGGCACAGTTGAGAAGACTCACGTGGGTTCGATCCTCAAAACTTTTTTCCTAATTGTAAAGATATATCTGGGATTATATTAATTAGACAAGCAATTGTTTTCATGGGCTCTGATTCCATTAGCCAGGAAGCCCTCCAAGTGGCCATCCTCTGGCTGTTCTGGGGGAAGCAACCCTCTTGTTTTCAGAAGAATGGGTTATTTGGGGGCAACTGAAGTGTCCTGGGTTTGCTGAAGGCAGCAAGCAGCTGCAAACAGAACTCAGCTCCTTGGATAATTCCTAGCCCTTTCTGGCCTCAACGCCATCCCTTTGGTCACAGGTAGATCACTTTTAGGAGTAAAGACCACTGTACCTAAGTGTGTTTATTGCTTAGCACTGGGAATTGCCAGGCAACAGAGGCTGTCTGTCTCTTTCACCCACATCTGAACATGAAGCTAGTGTTGGAGTCATCTACCTATGTTCTGCTGTGCACTAGGGTACAGCACCAGTGTTCACAATGTGGCATTGGCTCCAATAAACGTGGCATTCTTCTGCTATAAAATATTCACAAATAGGAAAACTCTAAAAATCCTCTGGACTACAAAAGGTAGAAGGATGATGGAGAGAGAAGGCAAATTTGTTCAGATTCTTTGGAAAGAAAAATGAATTGACTTGGGCGGGATGAATCAGTGGCCACAGGTCATAAGTAAGATGACCTCAACAGAAAAAAAGATCCTAGACAAGAGAGAAAAACCCATGGGACGGTGCAAATGGGCCATGTGTGAATGAGACCCGAAAGGACCCTACAAGGCCAGCTGGCCACCCTGAACAGACATGGTCAAGTCAAGACAGGTACCAGGGAGAGGTCTCCTCTCAGCCAGAGGGAATGTGGCCACACAAAACACATGGCAGAGGAGGGGAACTTGTAAGCCACAAATCAGACTGCCAGAAAACTATGAAAATTTCCAACACTTTGATTTTCCAGTAAGGAGAAAGACCATTAATGGCTTCAGTGTTTGAGTAAGGTGATTACATCTTTGTCCTGATTATCAGCAGGAAAGACTGTAAACTTTAGTTTTATGCCACAACATGGGGTCTTTGAACCAGCTACGAACTCTATTGTTCATTGGAGAAAGTGACCATGGATCCTGTCAATAAGAGAAGACAAGTATGTGCCTTTGGCTGTAGAATGGGAAGAAAAGAACTTAGCCCAGAAAATTTCAAGCTCCTTTCTCCCACCAGGGTCTGATTATCTTAATCTTAAGAGGCTCTGCTGTGGCCCATCTCTTGACCTCTGCTATAGTGGTTAGGCCTCTCCTAAAGTGGTTATATATCATTTAACAAAGAACATCAAACATCCTCAGAAGTAACTCTTGAGATGAAATAAACATCCCTTCTCCCTTAAAGTAGGGCTAAAGGAACTTCCAGAGCTCAGAAACTGGGCTCTTGCCAGGTCTGGATTTCAGCAGCTTGGAGCCAACATGGACTTACCTGGGTGGGAGGCAGTCCATCACTAAGGACAAAGTAGCAGTAATTAGCCTGGTCTACTACCTTGACCTTGTTGGCTCTAGGAGATAGCATAATCTTTTATATATATAAGATATATATATATTCTGAATAGAAATTCCATTTTAGGACATGAATGTGATAAAAGATTCTAATAATTGTCAAATTTTGGTATTATTCATGATGACAAAGAAAGAAGCCTTGGTTGGTTTAATTTTCCTGTGCTACTCACACACAGTATAATTCTTTTACTGTCCTCAAAGTCCCCTTCTTTGCTAAGGGGGATGGAAAGGGAGGTGTCCTCCACAGAACCCGTTCTAGACTTATGAGAACTATGCTTTCCTGGGGAACCATTTCAAGCCACTCCCGTCTTTGCATCTGTGCTATGCTGTCCCTATGCTGTGCTGTCTCTAGCCTGAATTTTTCTAGAGGCCTTAGACCTGGTGGTACAATCTGCTGAGCTTCTGGCTAGATAGTGCCCCAAAAAGACAAGAACACTCAGGTATTGCCAAAGGCCAGAGCAGAGCCATGCTTCAGGGCTCTGTCATTTCCTGTTCTTCAGAAACCTGACAACAATCTGAGTGGTGTGAAGGACAGCTCTCTCTCCGCTTATGACTTCCCAGCCCCAGGAGAAGGGGCATGGGCCAGAGGGAGACTTGGGCCTCCAGAGCTGTTGACATGCTTCTAATCATTTGGGAGGGGACTCGATCACATGTTTTCCAGCCTGCCCCGCCAAATGCTTCAAATACTTCTTCCATCAAGAAACCATAATCACTACCACTGACACGAACTTATAGATGTACACATTGGAAGTGGTTTGTTTTTTTGTTTTTTTTTTAAGAAATAAAACCATTCGTTTTAAAAGGTCTCAAGAAAGGCTGCAAATCTCAGTTGAACCTTGAAGCAAAAACATTTCAGGGATTCAAGACTCACAGCAGTTTTCTTTTTTGAAACAATTCAACGTGTGTGAATACTGAAATCATAGAGTAATAAGAGTGATTACTCTGAGACTTTAGGCTGTGAAATACATCATTAACATCAACAATTAGAGCTCTGGCTCCTAAGCCCTGGGCCATTTCCTCCTGTGAGTAGCTTAGCAACTACCCCTTACAGAGCTAGTAAGCACAATATCACCTTTCTTCACTTGCTATATTCAAGCATTAGCTTCACTGTCACAGATGGAAAAATAAGGTTCATAGAACATGGGGTACAACAGTCATCATTCAAAGTACCCTTTTAGAAACACTTCCTAAAATCAAAATCAAAATTAATGCGTGTAGTAATATTTTAAGTGTGCTTTGTGTTAACACTGTATGTGTCTGTTTTAGGATCCTATCCCTCAGCACCACATGCCATGCTTGTTACCTGACAGCCAATCAAGGGCTGGGAAGTGCTGCTTCAGGCTAGTGTTCTAGACTCAAGCTACAGAGAAGAGGGTTCTTGAAAGGACAATGGCACCCTAGTTTCTCACACTGGTGACTTGAGATGCTGTTTTTATTCTGTGAAGCCACACTGGGAAGCTAAGTGTCTACAGTGATTCTGGGGACCTCTTCCAGGGAGCACAAGTCCTAATACATAGTGTTGTGTGTACATTTAACAGGAAGGACAGTTTAATGGTAGCCAAGGGGCTGAAGTATGTGAAATGGGACACAAAACTGGGTGAACTGTTGGGCTGACCACTTTACACTGGGCTCCAGCGTTTAGCCTCTGGAAAAGTCCTTACCACAGAAAGTCCTCACCAAAAGTTCCGATCTCAGAGAGGATTAGCTTCACTGTTCAGCTCACTGACTTCAGTCTCCTCATCAGACAACACATCTGTACATTATTAGGAAGCATCAATACTTTTCTATGGCCTCTTGGGCCCTCTGCAAGACCTGAGGGAAACTGAGTCAGTATTGAGCAGATGTACAGATTTTATACCCATCCTGTGTCCTGAGACCATGAGGACTCCAAAGGGAGGAGAGCTTCAGGGCATTGATATGTCCAGCTCTGCAGGAGTGAGCAAGGTATCTGCAGCCTTCATCAGGGCTTTAGGTAACAGTCCAGATGTGGACCTGACTCCATCTTAAGCAACAGCAGAAGGGCATCTTCACTGGCACATGGCCATTTACACAGCTCAGTGTTATTACACTATTATTACACTTAGTGTTATTACACTAAGGCTGGCTCTGGGGTGGCAGCAGAAGGGGAGAGAGGCTAGGGTAGAGGTGTCCAAAAGCAGGGTGGGTAAGGAACAAGGTGGCTCCAGAGGCTAAACTGTAGCTCCAGAGGCTACCTGCTTAACAGTCCCCGTTCTGGCTAATCATGTCATTAGGGAACTAGAATATACTGCAGTTAGTCCTCAATAGCAGATGGTTTCACGCATTAGCTCCAACTGAAGCAATTTGGATGGCAGGTCACATTAACTTTCAATATATGACCCCAAGGACATGTTAAGAGGTGTGAAAATAGACCCAGGTGTTTGCCTTCACTGTGGAGTTGAAATTAAAAAAGAAATTACACAAAAACTTTCAAAGCCTCAGACCTTAAGATGACAACTAGAACTGCTTTCTTTTTCTTTTGAAAAATGCACACAAAATATAGATAATGGTTATAAAAACGTAAACAGCAATGGTTAGATTCCGGAACACAGAGTCACCACAGGAATTGCATCAAGAGAGACTGAGTGCAATTAGTGACAGGAAGAGGGAAAGGCTGAAGGAGAACTTGGAATGACGTGAGCAAGAGAACTGCCACTGTGATGTGAAAGAAAACTGACAGTGAGGATCTAAAAATGATGCAGCTTCTAAACCAAGTTGTTGCCACCTCTAAACAAATTTATGTGCAAGGTCAAATTCAGCCCTTTAATTTTCTTAGCATAGGATTAAAAAAATAAAGTCTCCCACCCCTCTTTTAATTAACTCTCGCTTTCAGGTCTTAAAAGCCTTTGCATCATTTTTATTTTCAATAAAAGTGAATTAACTTTTCCAAAACCATGGCATCCTGGCAAAGTAGCATCACTGAGGCGGCTGAAAAATACATCGCCCGTTGTTAAAACAAAGAGTTGGCTTGAGGAGTCGTCTGGTGGTTCAGTGAAGAAACCCCTGGTGAACCCATTAGTTTGTCTGAGAACAACCCAGCCTGGTGATCAGATCAAGGGCTCTATCTTTGGTGCCCGCCCCCCAGGACACTGCCTGCTAGATCTTTCTCTATATATGATCTATGCTACCTGGTGACCAGCCTAACCCACAAAAGCAGCTCCTTCCCTAGGCTGAGCCGAAGGGTCCCAACCCCCCAATGAGAACCTCTTACTGTCTTCATACTATCTCCCCTTCCTACCTGTCCCAGCTTTGTGGTCCTCTCAGCATCTGAACCTCCCTATAACTACTTCCAAAGTCCCCTGTTGCTGTGTCTACCCAAAGAATCTCAGCCTTGCAGGAGAGGTGGCCTGTGTCCTCTGTCCCAGGGCCCTGGAGCAGACTGAGCTGTGTCTACCTACCTTCTGGCCGAGGAAGAGGCTCTTGGTGGAGAGGACAGTAAAGCCATCCGCAGGTGTGCCCTCAGTTGTGCTGTCTGCGCTGGCTGCCTTGCTGACTTCTCCCTGCTTCTTCTTGTACAAACAGAAGAGTCAGAACATGGACTGCCTGGCAGGAGCCACAACTATGGCTTTTCTAGTAGGGAGGCAGCCACAGGCTTCACCCAGACCACTTTAGAGGACAAAGGAAATGAAACCACTGACATATCCTACTGGACACATAACTTATTCTGAGGGTCAACAGTTTTATGAAAAACATTTCATTGTATTTTTATCATTTTATTATCTTAAAAAAGCTTAAAGTAAAACCTTACTTTATAATAATTTGGAACAGAACCACTTCATAAATTCAGACCAAGCCAAAATCACTTCACGAAAGGTCTTTAGGTGCCTTTCCTTTCTAGATATCTGTATATGACTCAAGGTCAATGTTGGAGGTGCATACTGGTAATCCTAGCACTCAGCTGAGGCAGGAGGACTGCCATTTGTTTGAGACCAGTCTGGGCTACACAGTGGATTCTTAGCTAGCCTGGGGTGTAGTGTGGGATCCTGCCTCAAAATAAAACAAAAGGGGGACTGAAGAGATGGCTCAGCAGTTACAAACATTGATTGCTCTTGCAGAGGACTCAGGTTCAGTTCCCAGCACCCCCATGGTGGCTAACAACTGTCTGTAACTCCATTTTCAGGGGATCCAATGCCCACTTCTGACCTCTGTAGACATTGCAGGACACAGGTGTACTTATATACAAGCAGGCAATATACTCATGCACATAAAACAAAAGGAAGAAAATAAACTGTTTGGAAGTCACAGTAGGCCCTTTCCTGTTGTCCATTCTGGAGCTAGCTGTGGAGAAGGACATGCATGGAGGCTGCTGTGCCCCTATCCCCACAGTGCCATGTGTGTCAGGATGCTCCCCCAAATCATTCAGATGCAAGCTTGTGTGCCCTGGAGTTCCTGATGGCCTTCCAAGAAGTACAAGGCCCCAGGTGTATTTCCTCCTATACCTGACCCCATTCCTAACCCCTCCTCTCACTGACCAGAGTAGGTGCTAAAAGGACATACAAACTTTTAGGATGAAGACTGTAACACTAGTGATTATTTGGTTTCTTTGTGAATTTTCTACATTCAGATATTTTGTAGGATGAAGACAGTGGGAGTGGTGGAGACTTCTATTGATTTTGCTTTTCCCTCCCCTCAGTTAATAGAGTAAATTAATCCTGATAAAGGCCCAGTGCGAGAAAATTAAGAAGGCATGGCTAGGGTGTAGCTCAGTGGAAAACAGCTGCCTAGGTGATGGAGACACAGAGTATTGGGGGTGGCTGTGCTTTCCAGAAGGATGAGCTTAGACAGTAAACTTGGCAAGGTCAGCATCCTATCCATTTGCCTTTGTAGGATTCAAATTCATTAACAATAGTATATTAGCAGCCTTATTTGCATTGAAAAATAACTGCTAATTTTGCTAACTGCTTTAATAATAAGGACTACTTTGGCAACTGGATTATATAGCTGACATTTTCTATGTATTAAATAAGCTAAATCTGAAGCTCCAAGGTTTTGATGAGACAAAAGCATTTTATGAAGAAATACAGCACTAGCAAAGATAATACTAAGACTCTCACTATTTTCATTTTCCTAATACTTTGAGTGCATCCGATCTGATCATGAAGGAGAACCATGTATAATCAAGAATTGCATGGTAAGTTTTATGGAACCTTTTAAAATATACTTTGCAGGAAGGCAACAAAGGCTAACAAGGCCTTTCATACTCAGCTTTTTTAAATTCTACACTTTCAACAAAACTAAAGAAAAGCCTAATTGAGTTGAGAGCTGGGAGACCCTGAAAACCATGCTGACAGCATCTAGTTAATAGCAGTACAGCAGTGTCAGTTGCTTCTTAGTAATGGCCTTGTGTACTAGGTTGTGTATAGCAGGGAAACACGGTAAGGGATTCCTAAGAACTCCATACTATCTTTGTAACTCGTCTGTAAATCTAAAATTATTCTAAAGTAAAATGCTTCTTACAATAAACTGATGGGAGATTGCTAAACTGACCCTCTGTATACAGGAGTAAAGAAGTGATGTTGTTCTAACAGCCCCTCTCCATTCTCATTTAGTTATTCTACCAGGCAAGATGTTCAAGGTACTTATAGTTCTTACTATACATAGTATACTGAAACTTGTCTCATCTTAGCAGTAACTTACATATATCTTAGGATACTTGATAATTAGGGAGAAAAATCATTAATCCCATTACAAGATGCTTTTACAATAAAAATTTAAATTTTCTCTAATAGTTACTAAAATCTGGAATGCATTTGTTGGTTCGATTAAGTATCTATTAGTAGTAAGTGTGTGACCAATTCCACTTGGAGAATTCATATCACAGTACATTTACAAAAGGTCACAAGAAATTCTTCAAGAAAATTGAAATTTATATACAGTACTGTGTTGTATTACAGAAGTCACTAAATTACTAAGCAGAAAAATTTATTAATTGGGTCTGGTGAGATGGTTCACTGGGTAAAGGCACAAGTTCAAGCCTGGTGACAAGCTTAATCCCCAGAACTTATGTTAAGATAGAAGGAGAGAAATGAATCTACAGGTTTGTCCTCTGACTTCCACACTCACATTGTGACACATGTGCCCTCACCTACATCATGCACGCACACACACAGACACACACACATACTTTAATACATGTGCCCTCACCTACATCATGCACGCACACACACAGACACACACACACAGACACACACACATACTTTAATAATAAAGTATTACATTAAAATTAAATTTTGTGAAGTAAAAGGGAGGTAAGTAAAAAACTAATGTCAATTTTCCAACTGTTTAAAAAAAACTTTGCTGTATATTTTCAAAATATAGCAATGGATCAAATTAGAGTATTTAGATTCCATTGGATGCATAGAAACAACTTTTGAAACTTTTTAAATGTTAGTATAGCATACCAAAAATGAAATCATGTAAATTTATTATGAAAGGTATAAATGTCAAATTTTAAATGACTATGATACCAAAATTTTTTCAAAGTTCTTTTAGGAGGTATATAAACAAAAAGGCTTGAAAATAGCCTAGTCTGTGTAGTACCATCTGTACAGGGGCTGCTTGTGACACAGTCAGAAATGGAGGAAGGTATTTCTGCCAAGGAATAAGCAGACAGGGAATTGTTGCTTCTGCTAAGCACACCAACTTATAAGGGAAGAAGAGAGCCTAATGGCTAGGACTGCAGACACATAACTCTTAGAGCTTATTTCTACAGAGACAGAGAGCATTCACGTTTCCCATATCCCATGCAAGCCCCCAGCTACGTGTGCAGCCAGGTTCTTAAACCATGATGATGCTGGTGGTTTACAACAGTGAGCTGCTAAAGCTATTTCCCCACTTGCCCTGCAGACGTGGGGAGTGGCTTTGTAGCCCTCCACCATCAGAACAGGAAGGTTTCTGGTCCATGATCATAGGACATACAAGCAATACTCATGTGAGCTCTGAAGCTCTACATTGAGTCCTGGCTCCACTAGCTGGGTGACCTGGGAAAGCTGCTCACCTTCTTAGCCTAAGCCTTAGATTCTTCATGTGAGAAATGGAACTGAGACTAGAGAACTGGTTAAAAGAGTGAAAGTAGTAAGTGCTATATGAAGAATGAAACATGCTATTCTTTCCTGGTTCTCGAAGACCATCCACTGCAAAGAGCAGAAGCTTCTTCCAAGCAGCAGAAGCCCCAGGGGTGTCTGGGAGCTTCAGGTCAGCCCAGTTGTCCTGCAAGATTCGAGTGCACTCAGACCATTACTGTGTCTAAGTGCTTCATAAGCTTATTGTCTGTAATTACATCTTAGAATGAAAATGACTTTTCTTCCTGAAGTAGTGATATGAGGTAGTCGAGATTTTTCAGATTCAAAACTGGGAGGAAAAACTAAGCAATCCCATCTAACTCAAATGACTGACTTCCTAAAATTTTACATTTTTATATAAATGCAAAACTACCATGCATTGGACATATACTGGGCTGTTATGAGCTGAAGAAAACCTGGCAGGTCAGAGTCAGTCTGGAGTCACATTTAAGAATCTGAAGTGCCAAAAAGATAGAGGTAAAACCATCAACCCAAGCTCACCTACATCTCATCTCCTCTCATGCCTGAGCTGCTGAAGCTTTACCGAAAGGCCAGCAGAACTGTCAGGATGACAGTTCCTCATAAGAACTAATTCCTTTCTTTCACATCCCTTAACAGAACATTGGCCAATTTGTAGTTTAAATATTTATTCCTCAGAAAAGAGACATTCTACCAAAATCACCTTGGGGTTTTTTTTCCAGGGCAGAGAGGAGTAAGCACATTTTTATAACCCAGGAGGATTGTCTTCACATGGGAGAAGGTTGGGGTTTGGGAACGCTGCAGGCAGTGAGAGAAAACTGCCAAGGAAAGAGTCAGCAGTTCCCACTATGCCAGGCACTATTCCAAGCACTTTCATGAATTCTCTTTTAAGCCTCATAACTTCCCTTTACTATAGCTTCATTTCATAGTTGAGGACACTGAACATCAGAAGGAACTCGCCAGTATCATACAAATGGCAGAATGAGAATACAAAGGCAGGTGGCAGACCCCAGGCCTTCCATTCCTTACCACTAACACTACACTGCCAAATCAGTGGTTAGGTGACTTGTATTTTAAACAGATAACAAATGAGACAGGCTGAGCCTTATCTGTACAGGCCTTCAATCACAGCATTCCAGAGGCAGAGGCAGGCAGAGCTCTGTGAGTTCAAGGCCAGTCTGGTCTACACAGGGAGTTCCAGGACAGCCAGGATTACATAATAGAAAGACAAACAAAACTAGATAGGTCAGGGAGGGATTTGCATATGTGCATACTTTTACATGCATAGATTTTCTGAAAGCACACATTAATAATTCATTATACAACCTGATGGGAGAAAGTTTTTTTATTGCATACTTTTTTTCTGCCTGCTAAACTCTTATACACATAACCTATACAAAAGCACATTATGCAATATGCACAGTCATTGAATTGTAGAGTGGAACAGACCCTGCCATTTTATGGGGTAGGCAGACTAAGGTACAGGGCAGGGAGCAGACTTGCCTGAGGCCACCCAAGTAGGAAGGAGGAGCCTAGGGCACAGCCAGAGCTCTGGCCCGTAAAGGTTGCTGCCTTCTCTAACTAGTCCCACTATAGCTGATTCAGCTGTCACACTGGAGATTTTCAAAACCTTCAAATTACATAGAATTAAAGGGGAAATTATGATTTGGAATTCGAGTGTTGACACTTGAAAAATACCAAGTCCCTTTCACAACAAGTGCTTTAGCATGTTACTGAGGTGCTCTCTGCATGCCCCTGCAAAGGAGATTTTCAGAATGTTCCACTCCAACTCGGAGATGCTGGGTCCTTCTGTTTCTGGGAGCTGACACTACAATTTACATTAAACAAATGTTTTGAAAATTAGCTGTTCACGGTTCCAATTTCAGCTTCCCCCAGAGTTTAATGTTAGCCAAATACTGGTACAGTAAGCAGACAGTGTGCTTCATCGTGTGGAAGAAAACCAGACCACCACAGCCTCCTGCTTTTGTGATCACGGGAAAGTTGAGTGTTCAAGTGATTATTGACATATGGTCATATGGTCAGAGTTCCAAATATAGCTACCAGGAGCTGGACGCACGTGCGTGTGCACAAAACAACAAACCAAGACAACAACAACAAAACAACCTCAAATTCCTGGTGACTGGTAAGCTGGAAAGTTCAGGAAGTCATGGGGTAAAATCTATAAGGGAAAGCTAAGGTCAAGGTCAACAAGGCTCAACCAAGCCTGAACATATGTTCAAATGTCACAAACAACTTGTATCAAAGAGGGCAATGTTTGGATGAAGCCTGGACAAGGGGCAAGCCCAAGACACGGTTATACCCATGCTGGTCCCCAGCACCAAGCTCCAGGGCCTTGCTGTGGACCTGGGGTCCATTTTCAAGAAAGGGCAAATTTGGCTTCTCTGGGTCTCTTTCTAACATTTAAAAAGACTGTACAGGCACCTGTCAGCCTTCTCTGTCCTGCCCTTCCTCCTCCCAACTACAAATGTGGGAAGGGGGAAGGGGAGCCCTTCCCCTTCAGGAATGAATAAGGGGGCATTTTGTGAAGGCCCTGCCCTGCCTCCCCAGCCTCCTCCAGGACTCATGGGCAAGATGGAATGTATCTGGAAATAAAGGACTGGCTGCTCTTCAAGATCAGGTTTCTCTTTCCTAGAGCTAGGAGCAACTCTGGGACTTGGAAACTAGGTGGCTCCTTGGCAAAAGGATCTAGATCTCGTTTTCAGGGCAGTGATGTTTGTACACAGAAGTGTGTAAGGAAATGCAGCATCTTCGACCTCAACTAAAGCAAGCACCAAAACAGTGTGAACAGAAGGGTTTTCTGATGTTCCTCATCAAAAACACAGGTCATACTAATGGGGAGATCAGCACCTAGGACCTTGTTCTCAGTGGACGGTAGATCTGGGAACTGCTTTTCCTTCTAGACTAAAGTAAGCTAGTAAAGGACAACTGTCTGGAATACTCCCTGCTGGAGCATACCCAAGGGATGATATGTAGCTATGGCAACACAATTAGACTGCAACTGAACATCAAGGCATGTGGGCAAACAGCCTCTCTGAGCAGGACTGAATGGTAGTTGTCCCTGGACACAAGGAAAGCCTCTTGTCATAGGCCTGTACATCTACCTGAGAGACCTGACAGAAGAAGGTGTGGGTCTGGGCTATCACCCACTTCCAGTTGCTCCCTGGAAGCCCACCACCCCTCTCTTGGTCCACAGGTGTTCAGTCCTCTTCCACCAGATCCTCCTGACTAGCAAATGAGTTGGATTCCCCCACATTCCCCCCTCAGTGGGATGAGCCTTGAGAAGCAATGTAGGGCAGGGGGTCCTGACCTCATTTATCTGCACCTCCTCTGTCCCACACATCCCTGCCAGATCCCATACCTTGGACTTCCGGGCCCCTTTCTTGCTTCCTGCTTTCTTAGCCACTGGCTTCTTCTGGGATGGAGACTTGGCCTTTTTGGCTGGTGGAGGTGTGATGATGGCTTCCAATTTTCCCTTGGATCCTCTCTTCTTTGCTAGCAGCTCAGGATGGATGTTTGGCAACACACCCCCGCTGGCTATGGTGACTCCTTTTAGCAGCTTGCAGGAAAACCAAAGTAGCAGTTGGTGAGCTAAACTGCCCTGCTCACACCCCCCAGGTTTGGGCTGGTACAGCTCCTGACTCTATGACATCTACAAGGATGCTCATAGCATTCGGGTTCACAACATAGGCAACAAGTCTTTGAGTACCTCTCTTGGTTGGAACTTATGCTATCATTCTTCCATGGACAGCCAAGCACCTACCCCACCTCCAAAGAGGTCCTAAAAGTTAAGGAAGCTGCTCATAGTCCAAAATGTGCTCCACATCTTTGCCCTCGGCCAGTCACAACAGCCTCTGTTGGGTGGTCTGAACATATGCTAGTGTCTGGGGGCAGGTGGAGAGCTTCATACCTGGTTTAGCTCTTCATCATTGGCCACAGCTAACAGGATGTGCCGGGGTGTGACCCGCCCCTTCTTGTTGTCTCTCGCTGCATTGCCAGCCAGCTCCAGGATCTCAGCTGTGGGACAAGAAAGAGTGTGGTTATGTTAGAGCATCAGAGAGCTCACATGTCCCTATCCCCCATTCACAGTGCATGAATGGGCACAGGTGACTGCCTTAGGAAGCAGCTACCCTGAGGCAGGAAGCTATGGATAAGTTTTGGTGGCAATACTTAGGGAGGAATCAGGCAGGGATTGAATGGGAAAGCTGGGAGTGATTTAGAGGCCCCTGGTAGAACCCTTTGTTTTAAAGATGGAAAAGAGACTGGGAGAAAAGAGGGAAAAGGTAGAAGGGTATTGTGATGGCTAATCTTGGTTATTGACAACACACCTGGGAAGAGGGAACTTCAACTGAGGAATTTCCTACATCAGACTGGCCTGGGGTATTTTCTTAAATGATAATTGATACAGGAAGGCCTAGGAGCTGGTGAGATAGCTCAGTGGTTAAGAGCACTGGTTACTCTTGCAGAAGACCCAGGTTCAAATCCCAGCACCCATATGGTGGCTAATAACCATCCTTAAATCCAGTTCCAGGGGATCTGACACTTTCTTCTGTCCTCCTTGGATACTGCGTGACACAGGTACACTTACATACATTCAGGCCTAACAGTCATACACATAAAAAAATCAATCAATCAATCAAAAAATTTCAAAAAGGAAAAAGAGATACAGGGGGACCCAACCCACTATGAGCATGAAAAGTGCCATCCCTAGCTAGGCAGGTGGATCTAGGCTGTATAAGAGAGCTAGCTGAAATACCTACAGGAAGCAAGCCAGTAAGCAGTGTTCTTCCTTGGTCTCTCTTTAGTCACTACCTATAAGTTCTTACTTGAGTTCCTGTCCTGACTTCCCCCTGTGATAGATGCTGACATAAAAGTAAAAGCCAAATAAACCCTTTCTTCCCCCAAGTCATGGTGTTTACCACAGCCAACAGAAAGCAAACTAGAACAGAAAATGAGTCAATAAGTAGTGGGACTAAGATCTAAACCCAGGTCCAGCTCCCATTTCCCAGAAAAGGCTGCTGTGCTGCTTGGTACCTGGATGTGGGAAGGGCCAACCCCATGGATATAGCAGTGTGGCCAAAAGGGCATCATCTCCAGTAATGTGCCATGCATTTGTAGAATTCAAGGGGAAGACTGTTTGTTTGTTTTGATATATTGGGAGTTTGAGAAATCTCTTTTTGAATCAAAGATGAGCACCTGTACATCTGAATTCAAAACTAGAAGGATAGGACTAGACTTTTACAAAGTCAATGTCACAGTAATATAAAACAAAAGTAGAAAAGCTAAAGAAGACATAACCAATGTGTTATCTTGATGGACACCCCCAAAAGTCATTCTAGAGACAACTGAGGTGGTTTGAACACAGGGGTCACCCCTAGGGAATTAACCTTTCTAAGTCGACAGTAGTACAGCCACTCTGAAGGGAACATCCTTGTTCTTAAGAAATTCCTGCTGACATATTTAGGAGGGAACCATATTTATTTACTTATTCACTCAAGACAGGGTCTCCCTGTAGTCCCGGCTGGCCTGGAACTCACTATGTAGACCAAGCTAGTCTCCATCTCATAGAGATCCAACTGCCACTGCCTCCTAAGCGCCAGGATTATAAAGGTGTGCACCACCACACCCAGCTGGAGTGAAACATCTTGATGTTTGTCTAGACAGCAAAGTGTTTAGCAAAATGTGGCAGCTGCTGTTAAATCTGTTCATAAGAGTATCCCTCTTTCAAAGATATTCTGATTTTTGTATTAACATGTATGAACTTAAGAGGCATTAAGTGAAATAAACCAGGCAGAGGAAGATGACTACTGTATGATCTTACCAATGTCAAATCTAAAACTCACAAGTAGAGAGTGGAAAGTAATCACCAGAGGATGGAGGTGGGGGTGGGACTGAAAAAGGGAAAAGTGAGCCAAAGAGTACAAAGTTTCAGTTAGACTTGAGGGTAAGTTTCAGTGATCTACTGCACAGAATGGTGATTAGAGTTGATAATGTGTATTTCATAATCACTAAAATATATTTTAGATGTTCTCCAAAAAACAAAAAATAGGAATATGAAGGACAGTTACATTAATTAGCGTGATTTACTCATTCTAATCTGTAAGCATGCCACCATGCCAAGCTGAGCTCCAGGCAAAAACCCACTACATATGTGTACTCATGAACCTACACATATGGCTACTTATGAACACTTCATAATGGCATTGGTGTGGGGAGGGTGGAAAATCAGTCATACTTAGAAATAGCAAATCTCCTGCCCTCAATCCAGGAAATCATTTACTCAACAACCACCAAACAGAGACAGGGTGCTCATGCTTGAGAAGTGACACAAAGACACTGAGGGCCCTCTCTTCTGGATCTTTACCTGCAAGCAGGGAAAGCAACACAAGGCTGCATATGCCAGGTCTCCGGAGAGTGCCTTACCTGGGCTTCATACACATGAGAGCCTTGAGTGGGAGGCAGAAAGGCTGGCTAGTACTTACAGACACTAACTGGAGGAGGGGTTCCTTTCTACCTCATCTGTCAGCCTCACAGAGCTGTTCCCCCATAGCCTCAGGACAGTGTAGTTTGCCGATGGTGGGAGGACATAGTCTACCTAGCAGTTTTTCCTGAAAGCTCCCATAACTGATCATGGGCCTCTCTTCCAAGTGAAAAGGGTGCTTGTGATGCCTGTGTGACTTCAGAATGCAGGGGCCATGAATGTAGAAACACCCTCCTGCAGTCCAGTGGAGCCTAGTGCTCCTGTGTTCATAATGGGGGTAGCAACATCAGCAAGGCTACTGTCCTGCCCACAGCTCAAGAGTTAGCAAAATGGGTGCCTGAGCCCTACAAAAGCAGACTTGAACAGTAAAGGGCAATGAGTAGAGCTTGTCACAGCAGTCCCAGAGCTAGAACTCAGCACTTAGGAAGGCCTGAGAGGAGTCTCTGGCAGCATGGAGCTGTGAAGCCTATCTTGCTGGATTCTTAGCCTCTACCATACTCCCTCCTCAGGCTTGGCCTGAGGCCACAGGAAGGAGAGGCCATCAGTATCCAGCACTGAACATAAAGAAGGGAGCTGGTAGGTTACAGTCTGCTGACCCTAATGAACTAATATCTTACGTGCACTTCATTAAAAACGGGCATGTTCAGAGTACCCACAATGGTAGTCTGTTTTACTAAGTCCTAAGCCCACCTCTTTGACAAGAAAATTGTTTGAAAGCAGTTTCTCAGGAAAGTGGAAGAGGGCTGTTTCCTTTTCCTACAGGAGTGTTACTAGAAGACCATCCCCAAGGAGAAGGGGGAGTGGCCACTGGAGGTAGGGATGAGGGAGAAATGTGGTCTTTTTATTTTTGCAAAACTGTTCTCACTTTTCTATGCAGGAAAATGGTGGTGGGTGAAAAGACATGGAATGAGTGGAAATGGGGACGAAACCCTGTGTGGTGTGGCCCACTGACATGAATGGGGAAGGAAGCAGTGAAAAACGAAAAGAAAGTAACTGAGTGACACAGAAGCAAACACCCTAGGTTGAGGGGCCAGAAGACTTACTCCTCAAGAGTTAAAAAGACATCTCGCTTCCATAAGCCTTCCCTCTAGGCTCAAATGCCTTAGATTCTCCACTAGGGAAATTTCAAGGATTCCTTGCACATTGCTAATTCAGCTTAAATGCAGGGGTGCTATCCTGGATCCACCTGGGAGTGGCAGGTTTAGGCTACACATAGGAGGTGCACAGGCTCAGGCTGTGCATAGGAGCATTTCAGCTCCTGGAAGAGAGCACTATAAGGGGGTCATTCCCTTGCCTTCTGTTAACAAGGAGCTGGAAGCCCAAAACAGCTTCTTTTCTGCAAAACCTAGATTTCTGCATAGATCAAGAAGACTGTCTAGCACCTTAGGTGCCTACTGCCAGAGAAGACATGGCTCTGCAGGGAGGGAGGCAAGAGCTCTAACAGAAACAGAAAGGAGAGCACACAGACACTCCAGCTAGCTGGGCAAGTACTGTATCTTCTGTTTACCCTCACATTTTTCCAGATAGATAGTAACCATAGTAACGGGGGACATACAAGACAGAGCACCTCAGAGACACATCTTTTATAGGAAGCATGTCCCACACCCCATCCTGCAGTGGGTAGACAGCCTGGGCATTTTGTAACAGCTGAGAAAGATGAAGGGTACATCATGACTGCTAAGGAAAGCAGAAACTGTAGCACTCACCCCTTGCTGAGCCGCAGTAACACCCTATACCCTTTCATCCTCAGCCCAGTTTTAGAAACAGCAATAAAGTAATCGTTTTTCCTGACTAGGAGAGTCTGTTTGCTGCACAGGGAAGGAGAGATGTAAACTGCCAACAGCTCAACGAAACAGGACGATTTCTGTTTGCTCTTCAGGGCACCCTCACCTTGATGAGGGAGTGGAGAGAGGGTAACTGCCAAGAGACTATGACAGGGTGTACACCAAGGAAGGATGGTCTGGGGAGGCTTTCTTCCCAGAAAGTGATTTTCTACCTGGCAAATTACATGGAAGGCAAAATCACAGAGCTGCAGGACAATTCCTGCCACTGTACCCCATGCCCTTGGGGCAGGCTCGTAGTTCCTCCATTAAGGGAGTTACCTTCTAGGCTAGACCAGAGCCAGCTTCTGCCTCTGCCTCAAGTGTACTGGTTCCCAGGCCTTCCTACATGGGAGGGGCACCTATGTTCAGTTAATTTCGTATTCTGGAAGGTCTTGTGTACCTTGTAATGTTTGCTTTTGGCTAGTAAAAGGGAAAAGTGAATCTGAAAAAGAAAAGCAGGAAAACACCTGATCTACAGGCACAAATCTCTTTCTTCATGGTTTCTAGGGCTCATCCCTTGGACCCCTCCTCAGAGGGGTATTTAGAAGCCATACTCTAGAGGCCATAATCAGAACAAATGGAACCCATAAGAAACTATAGGATGAGAGGGACGACAGTAATAAGGAAAAGGAGAAGCAGAACCCTCACCAGGCCCTCCACCCCCTTGAGAGCTCTTTCTGGCCAGAGACAGGTGAATTTTTATGACCAGTGTT